CGTACATACAAGATTAAATCGAATCCATCGCTAGAGGAAAATCCATATCCCACCCATTACGTCATCCCCTTTCTACCGATTGGAAAACTTCTAATTAATAGGTGGGTATTTCGACCTAAGCTAATTTTTATTTCTCGTTCGACGAACGAGCACTATTCGAGAAAATGCGTATCGATAAAAAAAAATATACATATAGATGCGTGAATTTTCAATACGCGAAAAAATATATAATAAAAATTTTACACACGATTCCGTATATATAAAAATACGTAACCACGCGATCATTTTACAATTTCCATCGAATAAATATTTTATATCGAGTATATCTAAAAAAAACAACGTCATCATTTTTTCGTACAATGTAAATTCTGTATAATGTAAATTCTTAAAAAAAAAAAAAAACTTTCTACATAATTTCAACAATAATAACGATATAATAATTATTGTATTCGAGAAAAAATTTTCCTAATTAATCGGATGAGAAAAAGAAAATTGATAATAACTTTTGCGTTATAACGTGGGCAAAGTCGGCGGTAACTTTTCTAAGCGAATCGAAGTGAAACAATATCAGTGTACCGGCATCGGTGTAAAGCTTTTTCGTGTTGATATTTTAGCGGTAAAATGCGATGTGGGGACTAAAGGGATTCCACTTGTCGATTACTCGACCAAAGCCCACTTGACCTCGCAAACATGTTAGGCTTATGCTAGCCAAGTTTCATGTTGCATAGGTTACGCTCACCCTCGCTTTCTCCATTTACCGTACCAGGCAAAATTCATCCTCCAATACTCTTAGCGATATTCGATTCGTCCAAGTGAATATAGTTGACGAAAAAAAAAAAAAAAAATCGTGGTTTAATACTTTTTATTTTTTATTATAGATAAATAATCAAATTAGGATCAATTTCATTAAAAAAAATCTTTGGAATACATGAATAAATTATACAGATATAAAAAAAAAAAAAATAGTCGGCGCGAAGAATAATGTTGCGTCAAAAGGGGAAAGAATAATGAAAAAAAGAAGAGCGAATGGCAAGTTTGTTATTACCAGAGAGATTTGCTCTCCAGCAAATCAGCAGTAAAATGAGAGAAGTTTGAAAACGAGAGAAAAAAACGCTCGTTCGTATAGTCATGCATAGAAAGAAGCCATATTTTTTTTTCTTTTTTCTTTTTCTTTTTTTTTTTGTTATTCCTCACGAATGCAAAATTAATGTTTGAAAAGTTTAATCAAACCACGTCTGTCATCTCGCGACGAAGATCTTACAATTGTTCGATCTTTTTCGAGATCGAATGGATTCGAAAATCGTACGAATCTTTGGTCTAAGAATTTGATAATTATCTTCTTTGTTAAAATATTAAAATTTACAGATTAACCGAGAGGAAACGAAATATAGGGAAGCGAAGAACGAACGAAGATAATATAATTTATCCGAAAAATTATCGTGTCCGAAGAATTGAAATTGAAAAGAAGCTAAAAGTGATGGAAAAATGAGATAGAGATGGTTTCGAAATGGCATGATTCACGCGAATATATCTGTGTTGGCATGCCACTTAAATCGTAAGCACCGTGGATATTCCCATTTCTAACGGAAATGTTTCTTCTTTAGCGGTATAAGAGGATCAAGACCAGTATTCTTTGCTCGAGTATTGTATATTCTTCTTAACGCACTGCATCGAGAGCTCGATTCAATCGTAAATTCCCTTTCTTCACTTTATATACACAGACCTGTTTCAAACCTCGAATGGTTATTCAAATAATTGCCATTTTCCGCTTGTTAAACGTTCTTCCTTTTTTTTATTCCGAGGATATAAATCTTTAGATGGTTTTAAATTAATATACAATTTTCGAAACGCTTTTTAAAATTTCACTTCTCGATATGATAAATTGAATTATCGTTTCATAACGAATGTAAATAATACGATAGGTAAGCAGAATCGGAGAACGAATCGAAAGCGTTCCCTGAAAATGTGTGTAACAGCGTAGAAACGGTTTGAAATCCGAACTAATTGGGTCCGCAGTCCAGTTCTAAATGAACATTTTTCCGATTAAACGCTTTTTACAAAGATAGTTGAGAATCGTTAAAAAGGACGAAGGATCCATCGGTAATTCGTATGTACTTTGAGCGATAAAAGAACATTCTTCGATTCGGAATCAACTTTCGAAAGGATCATTACGATGTAGATACATCTTATTTAGATTCCCACACGTTTCATCACTTTAATTTTATTTCGATTCGATTAATTTTCCCTTTTTTTTCTGGAATTTATCTATTTAATCGCAAGGAAGGAAGGAAAAGGATGGAGAACATAAATATCACGGATACGTATACGCAGCATCACTTTCGGCCAGTGTTCTCGAAAGCGAAAAGTTTTTCCATCGTTTGACGAAAATTGCGTCAGGATGGTTAATGGTCGTGACGATGGACGGAGCCCATCAGCGAATCTCCACAAGAATGCATCCACGGTCTGGAGAATAAAATGGAAAAATAGTTCAATCCGACGAGTGTCACCGACAAAACGTTGATATCTCTGCTCCGACTAACATCTTTCCTTCTTTCCCGTGAAATTGATCGTTATTTCGAAACGATAACCTCTCGTTAACTTTCCATTCCGTATTTCTTCGTTTTGTTTCATTCTACTAGGTTGAGAAGCACTGGTGAACGAAACGAAGGAAGAATCGGGCGAGGGAACAGTTTGTTTTTGTTATTTGCTCGAACGATGTTTAACCTACGCCTCGTGGACGTGCATAACTTGGCGCTGCGACACGGGTGGCGTGGCCGGCGTTACATCAAGGTCGCTTTTGGAACGCTCTCGCGAAGAATTGCCGGATAGAACGAAAATGCGGTGCATTAATTCGAGCCACGGACTCGAGTGCGCGGAGAAAGGCAAATGAAACGTCCCTCGGAAAAATGTACGCTCCGATGAATCTTGAGATAAGCGGGATAAGAGAAATAATTAAGGATATTATGTCGTCCGCTCGGCATTCGTCCTCGATGAAAGCAACTGCTAAATACCGTTCGAGGCAACTGGCTACCGTTTCGTCAAAATATCGCGAACGATGTGCTTTCCTTATTCGTACAGATGGATTAAAATTTATGGGATAAAATTGTAAAAATTTTACTTCGCAAAGTCATCATGGAAACGTGGAAAAAATATACGAATCAAAATAAATAAATAAATAAATAAATGAAACGAAACGAACCAGAGGTAGAATCGATGCAAAGAGAGAATAACTCGTAAAATTTTTCCATCGAATTTCGCAAAAGAAATTCGCGTGTAAAAAGAAAAAAAGAAGAAACGGTCAATGAAGAAGAAAAGAGACGGAGAAAAAATTGAAAGGAAGGAAACGCTATATCTAGGGAAAATGAACTTATTAACGTTTCTTTTTCTCCTTTCGTAGATACAATCGAGGATATGGATTAGATTAAAAGAAATAGTTGGATTTTGCGAGGAATATAAAGAACGGTACATAAGGGACCGAGGAAATTGAAATCTTATTGTCCCTGCCTCCCACGGACAGATTAGAACTGACAACCAATCCACCTATTTTCGTTTCTCTTCGACTTTTCTATCTTCGTTGAAACGGTTAATCGGAAAATCTTTTCAATTTCTTCGCGAAATTACACGAAGGCGACAGCAATACCTTTCTAATTGCAACGGATTCCAATTGCGTCCAACATTTCTTTTCTAATTAGGTATAACGCGAGTTCCACTCCTTGTATCACAATTATTTCGATCCTTCGAATTTTTTTACGCTTTTCATAATAGTTCCTTCCCTTTTACTTTTTCTTCTCGCAATTATCATAAGAAAAAGATTCAAAACTCTCAAGAGATAAGACGGAAATTTTAGCAAAGAGGATTCTAATAAAGCGGATTAAATGAAGAAAAAAGAAGATTGGCACGAGATATGGTAGAAAATTAATCGAATTGAGTGGCATAAAACGTAAAAGCAACGAGGATCATCAACAGGTTCTACGAGTGAGCCGGAAGTCATTGGCAGTTCTCCAAAGAAGAGTCGACGAAGAGGGACGGCGGTTGGCGTCCACAGGTGCTCGGAACGAGCATAGCGGCTACGTCGCTACTGAATGAATTGGCAAAGGGCGCCACGAACAAAAGAACTCTATGCTATTCGTATGTACGAGCTTCGCTCGGAACACCTTTTACTCTTTTAAAGCAATTTCTCCTTACTTCTTCTCGCTATTTCCACTCGCATCACTCTCGACAACGAATCAATCAAATATCATTTGTGAAACTTTAGCGAAGAAAATTCGTAAAATCAATTATTTTCTGCATATATTTCGATTATGATATTATAACGTATGAAAATAAATGAAATGATAAATTATTTACATAAAGATATATGATATACAAAACGGATAAAATTTAAATTAACGGATCTTAATTCTCGGTATTAATTATTTGATATCACTCTCTTAATCGTTCAACGTTTGATCTCTTTGATTCGTCTGGAATAAACGGGACGATAATCGATCCAACGATCTTCAGTGAAGTCGAAGAATCCATGTTTACAAGGACTGTTAATTACGTGGGTATAATGGTATAATTTTGGAACGTTTCACCACTTGAAATGATTCGTTCATTGTTATCGAACAATTCACAATATCACCGCCGTTCACTGCTTGATTTAGCTCGTGTCGTAAATTTGTCGTTGTCGAATGTAATGAACAATAACACTTAACAAGCGGCGTGTAAACGTGGTTAAAAAAAAAAATGAAACGATCCTACATACCGAGTATATAAAACAGTATCTCGAAAACTATTGACAATCTGCGAGAAACACACAACGCGGAAAAAAATTTCATCTCAACTGACGCGCACTTGCCAATATTTATGTTGCGTCGTATTCGTCGAATTCTCGTCGCACATGAAAGGAAAAAAAGGAAAGAAGGGACGAAGGAAAGCAAGAAAAGTAGAAACACGTTTCATACGGATAAAAATCGGAAGGGCAAGGACAACGATCGAAGTGACGTTTGTTCACTTACCCGATTGAAAAGCTGATCCGACGATACGTGGATGGAACGATCGGATGGGACGAGGTTGCGTACGAGAAGCGGTGAAAACAGTGGCAGCGTGCGAGGAAATCCTTGGCAGTAGGCTTAAAAGCATAGCACTGTCGCGGCCCGTTTTCGTAAGAGGCAAGGGGGCTGCAGATCGGCACGCGCGCGGTTTCACTCGTGGGGGTGTCGCGGTGCGACTGTAGCACAATCGCTACCCTCTCACGCTCTCACGGTTTCCATCCCTCCGCTCTTTCTCTGCCCTTCCACCTCTATCTCTCTCTCTCTCTCTCTCTCTCTCTCTCTCTCTCTCTTTCTCTCCTTCTCTTCGTTTGTTCTCCGTTCGACCTATCTTCCTTCTTGTCTAATTCGCTTTCTCTCTCTCTCTCTCTCTCTGTTCTGTCTCGAGCCGTCCACGGTGTATCCCCCCACCACCGAAAATGCCAACCCACTCCTGCACCACTAATGTGCGCGCGTGTGTGCGTGCGTGTGTATAGCCTTTTCGAAAAGCCCCACTCACACGACTCTTACGCGATAGCCGTAGAGGTGGCTGGTTGACGGGATGGCTGGCTGGCTGGCTGGCTGACTGACTGACTCGCTGACTCGCTTCGTTCGGTCCCTATGCTTTCGAAAGCCGCGCAGGATCCTCTAATCGGCCCGCGCACGCCTTCGCGCTACCAAATTCTATGCGCATCACGCTCTCTTCCTCCTCCTCTTCCTGCTCCTCCTCCTCCTCCTCCTCACAGGCACCTGTTTCCTCCGTGAGCTGGATTTACGTCTACCACCGATATATACTACGTTGTATACTACTTCTCTTTCGCTTTATTTCCAAACAATCGTTCTCCGATGAATTTCGATCCGTGTATTTACTCGCAAATTATAGCGTTCTAGCATTTGTTTCATTGTACGCGTTTGGAAATTATGTTGAAAAAAGTATATTCAGCGCGTGTATCAGCGCTGATATAAATACTTAACGTTTTCTTTACGACGGATTTTTAACGCTCAATCTTCATAAAGATATAAAATATATATTTGCTTTGTATTATATATTTGATATTAATATTTATTTAAAAGTAATATATGTATTTATTTGAAAAGTATGTACGGATACTGGATATGAATATAATCATAAATATATGGAAGAATATATGTACTACGTTTGGTGTAGAGAATAAAGAAAAATAGGACAACGAGTGGAAACTGGCTGCTTTCTATTCTATAAATTCGTATATTTCTCACTTCACTTGCTATGGGAGAACGAGACGTTTAAATCCTATACATTTTTCATACGCGTATAGGTAGATATAGAAAAATCTAGGATATAAATAAATGCGAGAAAAAATTGAAATAATACACTTCTGTATTTTACTCGCGCTATTTCCAGAATTGTAATTACCCGTATGAAATGGTTTATTAACTATTTCCGTCCGATAAATACGCGTATTCGTATTTAAATATACATTCGTATCGATTTAGAAATACGATAGATCTTTTTTTTTTTATCGATCGATGCCGTTGAAAACAAGCTGCTTAATATCGTAAACTACAAATTTGATCCGGTAAAACGTATCGGCCTTTTGCGTTGTATATAGCGTTTAACTAGTTGAACCGTGAAATGCCGTGTCACGTTGTAATTACTTTTCCATTATTGTGATTTTACCGTAAAGTCAAACGCTACTACGATGTCCTCTTTTTTATTTTCTGCGTTTCTTTTTCCGTATAATACGTTCGTTCTATTTTATATACACGTATACATTTAATGTACGTTTTATGAAATATAAATGTGTGTATTTATTTTCGAAAAAAATTTCGTGAAAAATTATCTTCTATCGAAAAAAAAAGAGCAAAAAAATTTTAAAATTTAAGAAATTTCCTTTTCTTAATCATTCGATATTTATAAGTTATCGAATTCAAAATTAAATTTTTTATAACTCGATGAATACGTATCTACACATCTATTTTTGTTTCGATTAGAATCAAACGTGTTAACAATTTTTAAAAAATGAAACAAACATCGTTGATCGATCGATCGAAAAGCAAAAATTGGAGGAAATAAAATTCATCGGTATACGAGCGATTCGAAGATGTGACGTTTAAAATCAAAAAGCATTCGCCTCTTTGAACAGCTGTGCAAGGAAAACGCAGTATTCGTAACGTCGTATGAAAATGAAAAACGTATCGAGATAAAAATATTAAAGCGACGGTTTATTTGTTATATACGCGTATAGAGGATAGAAAATAATACGTTAAGGCGATTACGCGGTATCGAGTTCTGTTAAACGAGTTACTTTTCAGATTAATTAAACGTTAATTTCGATTCAAATTTAAAGAACGAGATAAATATATAACGGATATCTCCGATACCGACGAATACGACCGTTTTAAAAAAAATTAATACTCTCCGTAAACGTTTGTTTCGTCCATATTCGTATACATATTCGTGAATTTTTTCGATAGACATTTATAATTTTTGTAGATTTTTTTTTAGACCATATTTTTTTTCTAGATTGTATCTCTCCATAGGTTTTTTTTTTTTATCAATATTTGGAATCTGCAGACTTCTCTGAATACGCGTATACTGTGCGTAGATTTTTCGACGGACAATCATAGACAATGTCCAATTTTTTTTTTCACAGATTTTTTCACGAACGTTCTATGATGTTGGAAAATAGCGTAGAACGTCGATCATCTGAATTTCGGTTATTCGAATGACCGATTATTCGAAAAACCGTTTATCCGAACGCCAATTAAGTCGGACGTTTTACTATGTTTGTAAGTTATTTCCGTCAACGGGATTGGTAACGCGGATATCGATTCTTTTTACCGATCGTACCATCTGATAAGTTTTCGCCACGTGTACGTTTCTATAATATGTCGAATAGAAAAAAAAAGTGGAAAAAAATTCTTTTCTTCACATCTTGCACGAATTAACGATAAACAACGGAACGTTGTTTCCTAACCTGTTTATTTAGGTAGAAAGGTTTATCGCGCTCCAAGGACGTCCCGTCCTAATATTTTCAAATATTTACAGCCGAAAAACGAGGCTTCCTTTCCTTTTCTCTATCTCGTTCCCGAATGCAATTTTGCTTATTGAATCCTTAAAAAGAATCCCTATAGAAGTTGTCTCTCTCAATTACAAAAGAAGTTTGCGTCGAAGCATTTAATTCGATCGTATGCAAAGAATCACAGTAAGATCAAATTTTTCCGACAATTCAAAATTGTTGACGTTTCAGATCAAAATCATAGTCACCGTTCGATGCAATTGATTTCGTATTAATTTAACGACGTTGTTTTATTTAGTAATCGAAGATATTCGATTTCGAAGATCGATTTCTCTTTCGATCTTTGAATATTTTCCACTTAATACGCGAACCGTCCTTCTATTACATTTTTCGTTTTAACGAGACGTGGAAAAACAAATCGAAAGTTGAAGACAAAAATCTTTAGAGAAGTCTAAAAAAAGATTCTAAAATTATATTGATACGATTCAATCGACTCTAAATCCTGATTTGTGATTTTTAATCTTATTAAAAGGATTAGTTTTTTTTTTTTTAATTACATTCTTATAAAATATAAGCAACGGAAAAATAATTAAACCATTTCCTTGCATCTCAATGACTTAAAAAAAAAAAAAAAAAGGAAAAACGAAGGAAATTAGTTTGCAAAGCTTGCCAAGTGTTGGGTTTGAGTCGAGTTAAATATCATCCTCCGGCTAAGTCCTACTTTTCCTTCTACGTTATACGCGAATTCATACGTTACCAAGCGAATCGGATACTGTTCAATCCGATACTGTCTATCGAAATACACGTACAATTAATTATTAACGAATAAGATTATCGACTCGATTTTTTTTTTCTTTTTTTTTTGAAATTCCTCGATAACCACAACTATAAATAACCGCGTCAACGTTGAAATAATTGAAATTTCGATAACAACGAAATAAATCTTTCTTCCATGAATTTTTGTCCCCGTTTAATAATCCGCTTATAGCCATTGCTCACTTTCTTCATCGAAGGAATTTAAGAATCTTTTGTTTTGGCAGGTTTCTACTGCGAAAAGTAAGAGGGATTAAATGTGACACCTTCTCTCTCTCTCTCTCTCTCTCTCTCTCTCTCTCTCTCTCTCTCTCCCACTCCCACTCCCACTCCCACTCCCACTCCCACTCCCTGTCTCTATCTTTGTTTCGTTCGTTCGATCTCGCTCCTTCCTTCATCCTTGGCGTTTCCCTCTTTGCGATGTCACTTCAACATTCTTTTTCAAGGGCCGCTGGTTCGATATTAGGAAATACCTTCTGCCAATTCCCCGTTACATAAGGTGAGCGTGTTCCTATAAAAACCATAGGGTTTACCGGCTACACTCTTCCTCCGGAATTGGTTTTAGATTAAGAATTTTTATAAGAGGGGCAGGTAAGAGGGTCGAAGGAGCGAACGATGGTATTCCAAACTCTTCGATTATTCGCTCGCGCGTATTATTCCACGATTGAGGATAATATTTGGGTGGAACTTTTTTTCGTATTTATATCGGGGGGCGGATAAAATTTGTATATATATATATATATATATATATATGCGTGAAAATTGTTAAAAGGGAAGGGTGAAGAGAGAGGGAGAAGGAGAGGGGAGGGCGATCCTTCAAAATGCGAGCATGTACTATGAAAATAAATGCGCGTGTATAATTTATATTCGAATACCTGGTTGAGCGCGGCTTGTCCCGCTTGTATTTTTTTAATAATAAAATTTTAACCCGTTAAACTGTTCGATACATGTGAAATATTATTATTTACATTTTTTATATTTTAAGCTCACTCGATACATATTAAATTTTAATACCGCTTTTACAACGGACAAAAAAAAAAAAAAAAGAAAAAAAATTCCACGCGTTTGATTTATCGACGAATAAAAATGGATCGGATCGAGAAAAATTTTTTTCGAAAACGAATTTCTATTATATTTCCATCGCGGTGAAATTATCGAAATAAATAATCGGTTTTGTCCAACGATCTCCTCAACATCGACTGTTAATGGTCAAACGATGTTACCCTTATCGATCGATCACCAACATCGAAAAAACGAATAGGTTTTTTGAAAAATAATCCGATCGATCTTTGCGGCCAAGATGCGAAAGAATATCGTGGAAAAGAAAGGAAAAAATATATATATATATATATATATACGCGTATGAAAAACGCGACGCATCCAAGTTGGAAGGATACGATATAAGGAAGCGGGGAAGGGA